CTTTATAAAGAGAGTCAAACCATTACAAACTCATACAAGGAGATAAAACAGACGTTTTACATGGTGAAATGTGACTGATGAAAACTTAGGAGCTTAATCCCACARCAGTTTGACCATGAATAACGTCGGGTGACCAGTCTGACTTTTGTTTTTTCACATTGGACTCCACAGAGAAGAAATCCCGTGCATACTGCTGCTTAAATGTTCACTACGTCAGAACTTTTTCAGCAAATGTGTTTCCATCTCTGCTTTACGGCATTAACTCTTACAGGATGGGGGAAATTGGTCTTGGCGGAGGTTTGCACTCTCTGAGTGCTTCTAGTTGCATATAAATTTACCCCTTTTGCTTTGAAATCCCAACCATTGTTTAATAAGTTCAGTCTGTGAGCAAAATATATCCACCTGTTCTTTTCCTCCAGCCCCAATACACTACCAAGCAGGAGGCAGCATGTGAAGTTCAAGGAAAGATCTTGGAACAAATAAAAAATCAAGAAATGACCACAGTTTATGAGAAGAATTCTCAGATCTGGTCAGAGGTAGGATATAGGTACACATTTTGATTTATTCAAGTGCAATAAATGTACCAAATCAACCTAAACCCTCTGGTATTTTAAGAGGTGTATCAGTTTTTTGTACTAATAACATGTTATAGATTTGTTTAGGCACATGACTGAACTTGGTCATTTAGCATCTTGTGTCTTGTTTTGTGTTTTTATGTCTGGTGAACTTGTGTATTTGTAAGCTGAAAACCAAATTTGACCTTGAAGGACAGTAATAAATAAAGAAAACCAATGTTGTTTTTATGCAGACTGAACTGAATTCACATTAAAGTCACTCGCCTCTGGATGATTACTCACATCTTTGGTCCTCATGAGAGATGTTTTGGGTTCATACATGAAGGTGCAAACTGTTGTGAAACTCACTATATTCAGTGTAGTTTTGTCTAGCTTTCTGTCCACCAACATTTTGAGTTGTTCTCAGCTAACCTTCCACACCTCATTTTTAACCAACATTTTATTCACTTGAACAAAACTGAGCAGATATGTTAATGGTTGTTTTAATTTGCTAGTGATGTTTCAAGTGGTAAGATTATGAGCTTTAATAAGTAAAATTATCCCAGCTACAATGACAGACAACAAATATTACATTTATAGTTTTACAACTAAAACCGTTTTTGACGCCGCCACCGCAGTTTGTCCTTCATGAGCCTTCAGCAAGATGGTGGTGCAAGATGGCGGCAACCTGTAGGGCGACCTACAACCATGGAGATATAAACAGCTTTTTATAAGGTAAAAATAATAAAACAAGGTCTTTGTCTGCAATGATTAGACATGTTTTTTATTATTGTCATTAGTGATTATCTTAATTTCGGCCAAAAAACTTGACAAAATCCTACACAATGTGCCTTTAAGACCACACCAACAACAGCATAAGTCGAAATGGGAGACCTTTAGACCTGAGAAGAACCCAAACGATGATAAACTACTGGCTAAATTTAAAAAGCAATAATCTGGATCATCCAACACTAGACATTTTGTACATGTTGGGAAAAGGGAAAAAGACAGACAGTTAGTTTTGAGTGGGTGATTCAAGAGGAAACAGAGAAATATCAAATACATAATCTAACAACAAGTCCAATGTTACCGCTGTCAGTAATACCACCCTGGATTCTACCAAAAGCTACAGTTGATTTGACAATAATGGAAAAGAAAAGAGACACATCATACATTTTCAACTCACATACAGTGCAGGATTATATAAACAGTTAATATCAGTACATTCAAATAAATACGGATGCTTCAAAATCACCAGAGAACATAGGAGTTGCATTTATAGTTCCAGAATTTCAAATAAAATAAGTAAAAGAATTACTGACATTTTAGAATACAAAGGATGGGGTTAAGTGTTGTTTTTCTCTGGGTACCAGCACATATAGGGGTAAGAGGAAATGAAAAAGCAGATAAAATGGCAAAGAAAGCAGTTCAAAGTGAGATTAACATTATAATTAAGACAAGTAAATCTGAAGCAAGAAGCATAATTAAAGAAAGACTGAAGAAAGAGTGGCAGAGGAGATGGGAGAGAGAGATTACAAAAGGAGGTGGTTTTATGAGATCCAAACAAAAGCTGGAAAAAGGAGCAGAAAAGAAGAAAGAGTGATAACAAGGCTGAGATTTGGACATACAGGACTTAATTATACACTTTTTGCTATACAAAAACATAATACAGGGAAATGTGATTATTGTGGACAAAATGAAACCATAGAACATGTTATAAAAGTACGTCAGAAGTACAAACAAGAGAGACAATTTATGATAAGACAGTTCAGAAACATTAAGGAAAGGTTTGACATAATAGACACATTACAAAGGAATTTAGGGAGGAAACATATGCTAATCATAATACAATTTTTGAAAAAGACAAAATTGTTTAACAGAATTTGAGTTTGATAACAGTTTTTTTGAATTATTTATTTATTTATTTATTTATTTATTTATTTTCTTTGAATAGATAGCTTTGAAATGTAAAAACAAATACAATAATATAATAATCAGTGACATCATCAGTCTGTTTCTTGAGATGATGTCACAGCTGGAATTGATGACGTCACAGCTGCACAGTCACAGAATTAGCTAAATGCAGCACAACACGAGAGTCTTGTAGATCAGTATTTCCCAAAGTTGGGGTCGGGACCCAAAGTAGGGTCCCGAAACATCAAGGTGGGGTCCTGAAAAGTTTTTCTGAATTAATTACATTTTTGCCTTAGTTGTTACAAAGGAGTGAGGTTAGTATATTTAAAATGGATAAATGTAGTATAAAAATATGCCCTATATGTTACTATGCCCATA